CCCCAGGTGATGGGGTGAGGTGTGGCTTGGCCGTACTGGATTCAGCCCAACAGGGTGACTTAGGATCGGATGCTAGTCTGATCCCACCATAGACCATTTACCTATCACCATGAAGTCACAGATCGAGCCCACTCAGACTCCATAGCCTTTAGGGAACCTTAGTTAGAGGTGCCCAGTTATGGAGCCACAAATTCAAACTTGAAACACAAGCGAGTCAAGCTGCTCACTCACACACCATCCACTCAGAGTTTAAAACAATCAGTTCCTATTTATTTTCTCCTAAAATCCTGGCCTGCTCTAGTCCCAGTTGACTGGAATCACATAGTCACAGAGGAAGGGGATGCATCACCCTGGATACCTTTCAGGTTCAGCTGGTCCCCTGTGGAAAATCAGTCTGTGCTGGATCCTTACACTGACTACCCCAGGGCTTCCTACCTGGTCTGGACATCCATCACAGATCTCCATTTCACTCCACCAGTCTGAGGGCCCAGTCCACGGTTCTGCAGTGGAAGGAGACCCCAGAATCATATCGGGTGTGTGCACTTCCTGGCTCCAGGGACCCCCCACAGGCTGCAGAGCCAGGGAGTGGGGACATGTTATCCAATGGGGCTCCATGATCTGATCTTGCTGGGGCCTCCAGAAATGTTGCGGGAAGAATGTCGGACCAGTGAGAATAAGACTCAAACCCAGGTAGCTGGAGGAAAGGAAGATTTATTACACTATCAGGCCAGCACCTAGATCTCTCCAAAAATGGCAGAGGCCTCATAGCTCAGGGCTGCGGGGTTTTTATGCCTCAGAATGTGGAAGCAAGCAGGCGGGAAGGACAAAAGCAGATGTGGCAGTTGGCCTCTTGCTGGCCAAGTTGTAGCACAAGCTTACAACTTCTCACATTAGCACATCTGTGAAACTAGGGCCCAGGTGGGGGAGGGAGTACATCTGTGAAACCAGGGCCTGGCCAGGGGAGGGAGCTTCTACTTACCTTCTGATCTTTCCCCTGGGTTTCTTTATCAGAAGTAGGGCAGGGGACATAATGCACAGGGCAAAGTTAATTTTCAGGAGGATATGACCTTCCTGCCCCCCCATCAGTGGCAGGTGTCATGGTAAGCAAGTCCCCAACCCAAAGGTAGCAGTGCGTTTGCTCCCAGTTCAAGCCTCCCCCTTCTCTGCTTTCACAAGCAGCCATGTGGAGGCTCTTGCTTAACCAGGGCAGGAGGAAGTCATCAGACTGTCCAGAGGCAGTGTTTTCATTTTTTTTTTTTAAATAAAAAGCCTGTGTGAGATGTGCATCCCAGTTGTCCTCTAAAACCACCAGTTGGGGGAGGGGAAAAGAGAAGGAAGGGGGTGTGGCCTAGAAACCCTGCCTGAATACTCATTGCATTTCTAATTTATTTGGACATGTTTTAAGAAAAATGATCTTTTCTTTCAAAGTATTTGTTACCCTCTTAGATTACTTAAAAGTTCCTCAGGTCATCATCTTAGGTGACTTGCATGTTTAAAGGGTCCTTGCTTCTTCTTCTGGATCCCTGTACAACTCCATTGCCCATCAAACTGCTTGTCCTAACCCATCCCCATGCCTTTTAGCCAATTCAGGGAGATTGTGAACCTTTGACCTGGACAAATCCCAGGTGAGGGGCAGGCACAACTGCGTCAGGGATACAAGGAGAAACCAATGTCAGCCATTTTGTGCTTGCATGGTTGCTTAGCAGGAGTGAGCACATACTTGTACCCTCTTGATCAACAGAAATTGACTCATCAAGATTTTGTCTTGTGTGTCTCCAGCACTGGGGGGATATTAATTTCAACAATGTGAGGGTTAGAGTCCTTGTTGTATGACACTATTTTAAGCAAAGGAAAGGACAGGGGAGGGGTTAAAGTTTAGGGAGGAGGAATCTCACTTTAAGGATTCAACGTAGTCTCCACTCCCTGGGCCAGGCCTCAGCTTGGTCTAACTAGATGCTCCACACCTGTCCCTCCCTTGGCCACCAGATTCAGCTGCTGCCAGGAGCGCTGTGCTCCAGCCCATTCCCCCTTCATAATCTGTGATGATGACAATATAAAGGGAAGGAATGGAGCTGTGTAAGGGCAGAGTATTTTCATACCACTGAAACTAAATGGATATTATTCCAACTAGATTTCTATGAGTTTAAGATATTCATTGTAATCACAAGGATGACAAGTAAAAAAAAAAACTAAAAGGAATACAGAAAGGAAAGAAAAAGGGAATCAAAATGGCATAGTACAAATACTCAACTGAAAGGGCTGTGATATAGCTCAATGGTAGAGTCTTTTCATGGCTTTCATGAGGTCCTAGGGTAAAACCCCAGGCCTGAAAATGGTGCTGCAGGAATGGAAAGAAACAAGCATATAAAACATACAGAAGCCAGATGCTGGTGGCTCATGTCTATCATATTAGCAACTGGGAGGCTGAAATAGGGAGGATCCCAGTTCAGGGCCAGACAACATGAATACTTCAAATATTCTAAACACTCAGAAAAAAAAAGAGAGAGAGACAAATGGAGGGAAGGGGAAGCTCAAGCAGTAGACTACCTGCTTTGCAAACACAGAACCCTGAGTTCAAACCCCAATCTCAGAGGAAAAATAAAGTCATACAGTGAATAGCTAAATGGCAGGAGTTAGGTGTTCCTCTCAGGAATTTCTGTAAGTACAAAAGGGTTGAACTGTACAGTTAAAAGGCAGAGACTCGCAGAATGGATGTGAAAACCATGAGCAATATAAGCTACATTCAGAGAGATTCACTTTGACTACCAACATACACAAAGATAGGAAGACCGAGAAAAATTGTTCCTTTAAATGAGTATATTTCAATAATGAGAATATTATCAAGCATGGTAGAAAATACATCAAAAATGTAGCAAGAAAGGACAGTATATATTGATAGAAGTTATAATTCACCAAAATACAATTTTATAACATCCCTAAATACAAGAGTACTCCCAATATATAGGAAGCAAAACTAGATGTAATAAAGACCTTTCACACATATCTGAGATCCATGACAAAACAGAGAACTTGACCAACACTATAAACAAATCAGGCCTAGCAGGCTGTACAGAACACTGAAATCAACCCCAGCAGAATACATGTTCTTTTCGAGTGCTCATAGAACACTCTCCAGGATAGATCATTTGTTAGGCAACAATTTTTAATATATGTAAAAAGACTGAAATCATACAGGATATTTTCTCAACTACCAAGTGATAAAACCAGAAGTCAACAGCAGAAGAAAAACTGGAAATTTATATGTGATAATAAAATGTGCAAATAAATAGCACACTCTTAAAAAAAAACAGGGTCAAAAAGATCACAAAGGAAAGAAGATAACGAAGGACAATGAAAACAAAACCACAATAAATGAAAATTTACTCCCACAGTGAAATCAAAGGCACTACTCAGAGGCAAATTTATACCTCTCCACACCTGTGTGAGAAAAGCAGAAAAATATCCTCACCAAAAATGAAATCTAAATCCAAAACTAGCACAAGGAAGGAAACAATAAAGATTATGGCAGGGATAAATCAAGTAGAAGAGAAAAGCAAAAGAAAAATCACTAACACCAAATATTGGTTGAGAAAAACTTGACAAACCTTTAGCTATATTAGCAAATAAGAAAAATAGAAAGGCCAAGTAATAAAATTTGAAACTGAAGTGGGAATATTACTGTTAATATTGCAGAATAAAAAGGGTTATGAGTACTATGCAGCACTGCATGCCAGCACCATACAATTTAGTACTATTCAGCCATAAGCAGGGGTGGAGCACTGATAGGTGTGACAACATGAACAAACCCTGTGGATTATGATTCTACTATAACAAACAGAATTCATAAATACATAGTAGCCATTATTAGGAGCTGATGGAGAGGAAAATGGGGAGTTAGCATTTCATGCAAACAGAGTTTCCATTTGGGTGATGAAAGTATCAGTGGTGCTACTCTTCAGGGTGTTGAAAACGGCTCGCTGACTGCCAACCATTCTGGAAATTCTCATGGTTGAAACCCTTAAATATATTCCCCAGCCCTTTACTTTATTTCCAAAATATTCTGCCAGAGGCTAGGCACTGGTAACTCAAGCCTGTAATCCTAGCTACTCAGGAGGCAAGATGAGGAGGATCACTGTTTGAAGTCAGCCTGGGCAAATAGATCATGCAAGCCTATCTCAAAACAAACCCATGACAAAAAAAGTCTCACTAAAAAAATGTAAAAAGCCAAATACTCTGCTAGAGTTGTCCAGACTGGATCTTTCTACTTCCTCCTCCCTTGTGCTCCTCTAAGCCAAATCTGTAGTTGCTACAGGAACAGTTAATTCTGAGATCATAAGATTTATTTTTCACTTAAAATACAATATGAGGTAGGAGTAAATCAGAGTGTAGCACATGCTATTTTTCACTGCTGGATGGAACTGCCTACTCCTTTAGGTTCACTTTATACATGCTACACCTGATATAAGGTGTGCACAGACTTAGAATTGTTGTAGCAGCCTAACAGGCAGAATCTTTTACCACTCACTTATAGATTTGGGGCAAGCTCCAAGAATGGTTTTTGATTTAAAGCCAAGTGTATCTGGAATAAGGACAGATACTCTAACTTTTTATTTTTGGTTTGCTTTTCCTTAAGATACTTTGCTGTCAGCATTTGGGACATAACAGGACTGTAAACAGAGTGTGGGGAGCCCCCAGTGAGCAGTGGTAGAGGTGGCAAAAGCATGATTTTGACATTTGCTCTAGGATGGGAATTAGGGACTCATCAATTGTAGCCAGAACCACCACTACTGTACTTGTAGTCTGGTCTCCCTGGAAAGACTGTGCTACCTGGGTGAAGTTATCCATGCCAAGGGAGTACACACTGAGATCTAAATCAATGCAAATCCAATCAGAATTTAGAAAAGGTTTCTGGATGTGTTAAGGAAGTCAACACAGATCATAATGAAATAATGGATCAATATCAGTGGCCATAAAAAATACTCACTGTACAACATACTGAAGAAAGGTAAACCCACCGTAATTTTACAATATTTTAAAAAAAGAACTCAGACACAAGGCAAATTCAGTCAAGGCAGGACTCAATTACAAAGATAAGTGACCCACTTCTACAGGCTCAGAGCCAGAGAAAAAACCACACACTGGAGAAAAAACAGTAGTCTTCTATCAATCATGTGGGCTGGGCCTCAGGGATGTTCAGAATACCTGGACTTGAATCCTTCAGGACTCACTGCTCACAGCTTCTCTGTATCTTATAAACAGATTCCTGATGGTGTGAGCAGCTCCAGGCTCACACACAAACTCAGTGATTATCAAGATTTCAGGGACAATGAACAGTTACTCTCCACACTGAAAATGAGACCTCATATGAAGACTGCATATGCAACCATTTATTATGGTCATACTGATGGCTTCTTACTAAAATTCTGTGGGGAAGAAATGTTGGGTAGAAGAAAGTGACAGCCACCCCAAATAATCCTCTAAACAAGATGGAGATGGAATTTCAAATTTGGGTGTGTATGGACAGAATTGTGTGTGAACCTAACACCTCAAGCTTAGCAGGTTGATACTTACTATTTGAGTCATATCCCAAGCCTTTTTTTTTAAAGTTATTTTTCACACAGAGTCTCATATTTTACCCAGGGAGGCTTGGACCACAATCCTTGTACCTATGCTAATTACACAACTAAGATTACAGCTGGTTCAGCTGTGGCAACACCTGGCTTATTAGTTGATAGTGGGTCTTGCTAACTCTCTGCACAGGATAGTCTTGAACCACAATTGTCGATCCGTCACCTCCCAAACAGCTGGGATTATTGTCATGAGCCATTGCTCCCTGGCCCCCATATTTCTTTCATTCTCCCAAAACTTAACATGGCGACGAAACAGGTTCCCCTTTTGTATGACTTTTCTGATAAACATGAACAGGGTGAGTCTCTCAGGAACACCTCCCAAATTCATAAAGTGAGTAAGCAATGCTGGCTGTGGGTGCTGAAATGCAGACCACACATAAAATGGCTGAACAGAGTAGGCCTCATTTCTCACATGTAACAAATGGAAGGTGCTGGGCCATTGGTGGAAAATACTCCGTTTTCTTCATTTCTGTCTGAACTCACAGTGATTGAAGACACATAGAGCTCCCACCCTGAGTCTGGTAGGACTGCAAGGTCACTGTTAAATTTAGGCCTGGAAGGAATGTTCATCACTGGTGTCTTTATCTCCAGAGAGCTTTGAATTGTTGGCCACAGAAAGAGGCAGAAAAGATCTTGCTGTATCACAGAGAAAAGAAAATAGCTTTTGGAGGACACATAGCTAGTCGCTGCCATTCAGGATTTTCCCACTGTGAGAATTCTCTCATGTTTCCTGAGGTTTGATTTCTGAGAAAGCTCTTCCATCTTCAAAAGACTTCTCTCTTATGAGTGGTCTGATGCTTGCTGAGGTTTGACTTCTTGCCAAAGGTTTTTCCACACTGATTACATTGATAAGCCTTTCCCCAGTGTGAATCATCTCATGTCCAATGGGGATTGACTTCAGGTGAAAGGATTTTGCATACTTACTACACTAATAAGGATTCTCCTCAGTGTGAATTTTCTCATGCTCGGTGAGGTTTGATTTCCTGCTAAAGGTTTTTCCACACTGATTACATTGATAGGGCCTTTCCCCAGTGTGAATTATCTCATGTCTACTGAGGACTGACTTCAGATGAAAGGACTTTCCACACTGACTACACTGATAGGGCTTTTCCCCAGTGTGAATTATCTTATGCCTAGTAAGTTGTAACTTTGAGACAAAGGGTTTATGACACTCACTACACTTAAAGGGCTTCTCCCCAGTGTGAAGTCTCTCATGTGTGGTGAGGCCTGATGGACCTGAAAAGGTCTTACCACACTGACCACACTTGTAGGGGTTCTCCAAAGTGTGACACATCTCATGATTGGTGAGTCTTGACTTCCGGCCGAAGGTTTTTCCACACTGATTACACTGATAGGGCTTCTTGCCAGTGTGAATTGTCTCATGCACGGTTAGGCTTGATTTCCGGCAAAAGGCTTTCCCACATTGATTACATTGATAGGGCTTCTCTCCACTATGAATTTTCTCATGTCCAATGAGGATTGACTTCAAGTGAAAGGATTTTCCACACTGAAGACACTGATAGGGCTTCTCCTCAGTGTGAATTTTCTCATGCTCAGTGAGGTTTGATTTCCTGCTAAAAGTTTTTCCACACTGATTACAATGATAAGGCCTTTCCACAGTGTGAATTATCTCATGTCTATTGAGGATTGACTTCAAGTGAAAGGATTTTCCACACTGACTACACTGATAGGGTTTCTCCCCAGTGTGACTCAACTCATGCCTAGTGAGTAGTGACTTATAGCCAAAGGTTTTATGACACTGACTACACTTAAAGGACTTCTCCTCAGTGTGAATTTTCTCATGCTCACTGAGGATTGATTTCCAGCTAAAGTTTTTCCCACACTGACTACACTGATAGGGCTTCTCCCCAGTGTGAATTATCTCATGTCTACTGAGGACTGACTTCAGGTGAAAAGATTTTCCACACTGACTACACTGATAGGGCTTCTCCTCAGTGTGAATCATCTTATGCCTAGTGAGTTGTAACTTTGAGGCAAAGGTTTTATGACACTCACTACACTTAAAGGGCTTTTCCCCAGTGTGAATTCTCTCATGTGTGGTGAGGCGTGACTGACCAGAAAAGGTTTTACCACACTGACTGCACTTGTAGGGGTTGTCCCCAGTGTGATTCATTTCATGAATGGTGAGTCTTGACTTCCGGCCAAAGGTTTTTCCACACTGATTACACTGATAGGGCTTCTCCCCAGTGTGAATTCTCTCATGCATGGTGAGGCTTGATTTCCGGCAAAAGGCTTTCCCACATTGATTACATTGATAGGGCTTCCCCCCAGTGTGAATTTTCTCATGTCCAACGAGGATTGACTTCAGGTGAAAGGATTTTCCACACTGATTACACTGATAGGGCTTCTCCTCAGTGTGAATTTTCTCATGCTCAGTGAGGTTTGATTTCTGGCAAAAGGCTTTTCCACACTGATTACATTGATAAGGCCTTTCCCCAGTGTGAATTATCTCATGTCTATTGAGGATTGACTTCAAGTAAAAGGATTTTCCACACTGACCACACTGATAGGGCTTCTCCCCAGTGTGACTCATCTCATGGCTAGTGAGTTGTGACTTATAATTAAAGGTTTTATGACACTCACTACACTTAAAGGGCTTCTCCTCAGTGTGAATTCTCTCATGTGTGGTGAGGCCTGACTTCACTGGAAAGGTTTTACCACACTGATTGCACTTGTAGGGATTCTCCCCAGTGTGACGCATCTCATGACTGCTGAGTCTTGACTTCTGGCCGAAGGATTTTCCACACTGATTACACTGATAGGGCTTCTCCCCAGTGTGAATTCTCTCATGACTGCTGAGGTTTGATTTCCGGCTAAAGGTTTTTCCACACTGATTACATTGATAGGGCTTTTCTCCCGTGTGAATTATCTCATGTCTATCGAGGATTGACTTCAGGTGAAAGGCTTTTCCACACTGACTACACTGATAGGGCTTCTCCCCAGTGTGAGTCATCTCATGCCTAGTGAGTTGTGACTTATAGCCAAAGGTTTTACCACACTGACTGCACTTATAGGGCTTCTCTCCAGTGTGAAGTATCTTATGCTTGGTGAGATATGATTTCTTCTGAAAGGTTTTTCCACATTGATTACACTGATAGAGCTTCTCCCCAGTGTGAATTATCTCATGCTGGGTGAGGTATGACTTCTGGACAAAGAAACTTCCATTCTGATTACATTGATAGGGTTTCTCATCAGCATACATCCCATCAGGCTTACTAGGGTGATTCCTGTTCTGACATACATTCAACTCCTTGGGCTTCACTCCTAAAGAGCCTACATTCTTTACAATCAAATTTGAAATATGGCTGGAACTCAAATGAAAGGCATGTCCTAACATAACTCTCTTGTTAATTGGTGTGTTGTTCATATTGATTCCAGCTTGCCACAAATGTCTGTCTTGACTTTCCTCACTGGTCTCAATTATGACATCCACCTTCTGGACATCTAAAATGAGAAAAAAGATGACTTCAAGTAATAAATGACAGTGATACATTTTATATTGTTGAATAGTTTTTCCTTGTTTTTTTCAATTTATTTGCATATGGTAGTATTGATTACAATATTCACCTACAGCCTAGTTATCATTTTCCATGGAATGTATCTGCCCTGCCATTTCTTTCCCCCATTGTTTTTCTCTTATTGTTTTGCTAATGTTCTTCTCATTATTCTACTTTGATGGGTACAAGAATTTTAGGACCAGCAACTTGCATAATACAAGTGAAGTCGGCTGACTGCCACCAGAGCAGGAACATGACATTGGTACAGCGTTTGCATGTATATTTGTTCAGCTTTCCTTCTTACACAGAGAATAACTATGTGTATCTAGGGAGTTTTTCAAATGTAAAATGTCTTCTTTCCCATTCTAGATGAACAGAGCGTCCTACAAAGTTCTAATTTAACCTCACTAACTCTCAGAAATATAAATTTTTTTCTTCCTCCCACCACCAAGGACACCCACCTATGAAGACCATCATCTTTATTCAGTGCTTTTCAGGCTCCTTCTAAGACCAAAAGTCCCAGTATCTCTCCCCTATTCCTGGTACAGACACCTATGCTTGATAATCAACTTCTCCCAAATGATGTTATCTTGTGCACTGGACTGTCAGCTTTCTCCTACTTTAATAGAAAATACAATCTTCTCAATATTTCTTCTCCTTTTTCTTGTTTATACTGATATCCACTAAGAGAAGATGGAAATGATAACATTGAATTCCACTCCCCAAACAGAGATGTGAGCTCCTCAACATGAAACTCTTGGTTCTCTCAGGCTTGGGACCAAGAATGTCTTGGCTCTTCCCCAAATGCAAACCCATATGCTGTATCCTCCATTTTATGGTGTCTGACATCATGGTTCACAAGGGTAAGTCTGGACTTTTCTCATTTTCTTATCAAGTCCCTAGGGGAACTGCTCTGTAAGTTTAAATAACAACTTCAAGCTACCAATTTCCAATTTGTGCTTCCAAGAGTGATCTCAAATGTAGATCTTCATATTCACCTATTATGTGTGAAGTTTTGAAAACAGGAACTAAAACTCAAGCTATGTCAAGATGACCACTTCATAATCCACTACAAATGTAGACCAGTGGTACAGTACTTGACCAGCACCCTTGAGGCCCTGGGTGCAATCCCCAGCACAGCAAATTCAAACAAACAAATTCCATCTAACATTATCTTCTCTGACCATCCTTTCTAAATGATGATATATCAATTTTCCTTTTCTCACGTTGATGAAATATTGCTCATGGTTCTTATTTGACTACTTAAAACATACTACTTTCTTGTTTTTCTCTCAGCACACTATAAATTCGATGAAAGAGACATTATTTTGATAATTTCTTACATTATTACAACTATAAAATCACCAGTACTTAAAACCAGCTTCAATGCAATGTGATAAAGCATAATTTATGAAGAAATGTCAGATAATACTAGCCCACGAGACACCAAGTGTGGGGGCAGGCACCTGTAATCCAATCCCAAAGGAGGCAGAAGCAGGAAGATCAAGACTAGAAGGAAAGAAAGGGTCCGTATCAGGAGTCTGTCTCAAAAAAAATTTTAAACCAGGTGCCAGAGGCTCACATCTCTAATCCTAGATCCTCAGGAGGCTGAGATCAGAAATCCTGTTTAAAAGCCAGCCCCAGGCAAATAGATCACAGGACCCCACCTCAAAAATAACCACAGCCAAATGGACTGGAGTTGTGGCTCAAGTGAGAGAGCATCTGCTCTGCAAGGGCCTGTCTGCTTTGGAAGCTCTAAACCCTGAGTTCAATCCCAGTCCCACAAAAATTAATTTATTATTGAAAAAGGAATTATTCAAAAAAATCCATGAGAATGGAGGGTGAACCAAATCAGAAGACTAAGAAAGTAAATACCAAAGAAAAATATCTAAGAATAGGGTTTAGATTGGGATAAAGGTCAAAATTATATGTGAGAGAGCCCTCCTTGAGGAATGTAATGCACAGGTTTGATGTGTGCAGGCACACCATCCTCAGGTCTGCAATCTGGAAGATATTCTGGTGAAGTCAGTGCAATACAGCCAACATCTGCTGGGCTCCCCTCTAATGCCCTCCTCACTCAGGATGCACCGACTCACCTGGTGGGCTCTGGCTTGGAGATTCTTTTTCCAACCACTGCTCTGCTCCTTGCTCCAGCATGAAGATCAGCTCAGGTTTGGTGATGCATTGCCCTGTTCATGCAAAACAAGGTAGGATTTTGTTAAATGATTAAGTCAGGTTTTTCCCCTCTCTAACCCTTTCTGCAATGATGGACATGTTCTGTACCTGTGTTACAGCAAGGGAGCTGATAGCCACAGCAACCACTTTCAAACACTTGACATAGGAAGAGTCTGAGGAGCTACATTTAAGTTTTGCATTAATTTATTTCTCTTTTTTCTTTTATTCCTGTATTAGCATATTAGTTTTACCCAGGGTACACTGTGACATTTACAAAGTAGTTGTAATAAATCCTCCCTCCCCCCATTCTTAGGACAGTTTCAACAAGTGTCATGTCCCATTTTTTTAATGAATATATAATACTTTCGCCATATTCACCCTCCTTCACCCTTTCTTTATGCCATACCAAAGCCTGGACTTCTTACCTTTCTTTCCTTCATTCTTGAAAAAAAATTTGTTTATGATGGCTATACAGGGAGTTTCACCATGACATTTCCTTATATACATATATGTATTATACCCTGAATTGGTTTATCCCCTCCATTTTAAATCAAGTTCTTGCAGTAAGATAAACCCTAGCTTTGTAACTGTGCAATGAAGGGGGACATGTGAATTTTTCATGGAGAGGATGAACAATTGAGTTTTTCATGGGCTGGAACTGTGCACCTAAATAGTTTTCATATATGTATTAAGAATTGAGGGCTACAGTGCATTTCACTCACCCAGGGACACCAGGCTGCTGTAGGTCTCGAGCATTACCTCCCTGTATAGGGTCCTCTGAGCATCATCAAGGTCCCGCCATTCCTCCCAGGTAAAGTCCACAGCCACATCCTCAAATGACACTGAGTCCTGGAATGCCATATTTCTTCTCTGCTCACCAGTTGTTGGAATATGGAAGTTCTACTTCTGCATGTGGAGGTAGGAGTGGGGGGATATTTTATAAGTATTTTGCAAAAAATGCCACTTGTTTTGCACTCTATGGTAAAAGAAAGTCATAGGAATGTACCACCATTGTAATAATTTATTAAGTACTAAGTGGTATTAAAAATATTGTTAAAAGTTTTACCTCACAAACTTAAAAAACATACTTATACCAAGGGAATAAAGTATGAGTAAAAACAGTGCTGTAATTCAAGCACTGAAGAGGATGAGATAGGAGTACTTTAGAGTTCAAGGCCAACCTGGGCTACATAGCAAGTTCCACTCTATTTAAAAAAATAAAATAAAATTTTGCACCTTTAAGGAGCTTATGATCTGGAATGAAGAAACCATTAAATATGAATAAAACCCCACAATCTGTTAGCGGAACTGATTTACAGCTTCAATGTAAATGAAGCAAGAAAGGAGAATGTATACTTCTATTTTGCATGACAAATCTGCACTTTACTGAGAAGCCTAGTATTCTTTTCGAATGACTAATAAACTAAAACTGTGCACACAGGCATCACAATATTTTCTTCCTACATGCAAAAGATTGCTCATGTTCACTCCAGACATCTCTGCCATTTCCCAATCTACTGGTGTAAAATGAGAGCTCCGGTGAGAACAGGTGAGCAAACTGAGCAGATCTACATTTCAACAGTCATCCTGGGAGGAGAACTGGAAAGGCTTAAGGGAGACTTAAACAGTAAGAAACCAGAGTGAGATGTCAGATCACAGAGAAGTAAGACTGCAGAAAACAGAAGTAACCTTCAAGGAGAGAAAAGAAAAGAAGTGCAGTAACAGAATTTGGTAAGGATTTGTTGATTGAAGATAAAAACATTTCATTTCTAGATGATCTGCATGATTGATGCTACTTAAATCCTGGCACCATAATGTGTAATTTGGAAAATGGAAGAATAATACTACAGCAGGCCTGGTGCTGCTGGCTCACACCTGTAACCCTAGTTACTCTGCAGGCAGAGATCAGTTTGGAGGCACCCCAGGCAAATAGTTCATGAGACACTATCTCGAAAATACCCAACAGACACACATACAACAAAAGGAGAAAAAGAAAAAAGAAAGAAAAGAAAAAGAAAATACTCAATGTAAAAAAAAAAAAAATGGGTGGGCTGCATACCAAAATGGTAGAGCACCTGCCCAGGAAGCACTAGGCCTTGCTTGAGCTCAAACCCCAGCACCTCCAAAGAAAACAAAACAAAACAAAAACAAATCCAAAAAAGTGACACAGCCTTGAATATATTACATTTGGAATGTCCAATACCACATCTATGTGATGGCCAACTACCAATTTCATACATGATTCCAGAGTTCAGGAGAGAGAGATGTAAGCTGAAGATAAAATAATTTGCTGAGTAACGAAATTTTAGTGCTGCCTAAAGTTATCACAGTGAATGAAATGAATGGTCTTCAGAAAAGGAAAGTTAACAAGAAAAAGAACATACAGAATGATAGAATAATAATGTCGCCATTTTGTGAATCAGGCAAAATGGCAGCCCCGCCCTTAAGCAAATTCCCGTGCTCTAAGACAGCCCCACCCCTACCAGAGACTACAGCACCTGTACTAACTTCCTTACCCTCCCCCTTCTATAAAAGCCACTGCTCGCCCAGGCTCTGGGCTGCGCCATCTTTTCCCCGGCCAGCCTGGCAGTTTGGGCCTGCCATTAAACCTTGCTCCATGGACGGGAGTTTTCTCATGAGCTTTCTTTGAGAGCGGCATTTTTCCTAACATTTGGTGCTGAAACCCGGGATCGGGTTGAGTTCCCGGCACTGACCTTGCTCTCCCGGCTTTCCTCCGGGATCTGAGCTGCTTTACCGGGACCCCCGATCCTAGAAAGCGTCACTCTCTCACTAGCTCACAGGGAAGTTCCTCCTCCCCAGTGTGCCTCCAACCACCATCCACCACCAGCCAATCTTCCCTTAAGGTCTTCTCTCCCTCGGTGAGTCCTCTTTGCACGCAGAGCTGTGTTCTCTCTCTCATTTCCTCGAAAACCCTAGCACTAGGTTGCAGCTCGCTCTCGTCCCAGGGAACTGGGTTCCCCACTTAGGACTGTGGACATCCCCGTGGTCAAGACGTTCCCTCTGGGGGTTGTTTTCCACATTTCTCTCTCTCTCCCCTGAGGACCTGATATTTTGGGGACGCCCGCCATATCTCTCCTCAGGTCAGGCCTTCACCATGGGAGTTGGACCATCCCAAATTCCTTTAGACTCCCCAATGGGATGTCTCCTGGCCAATTTTGGGCCCCTCTGCCTAATGCCTGATCTTAAGCCACGAAAGCTCATTTTTCTCTGTAATCAGGCCTGGCCCCAATTGGACAATGCCTCCAAATGGCCACTTAATGGCACTTTCAATCCCAGTATTTTAAGGGATTTATGCAATCTCTGTGAGTGTGCTGGTAAATGGAAGGAACTTTCCTACGTCCAATCCTTTCCCTATCTCTGCATCAAGTCCTCCCTCTGTACTTTCTGTTCCCCTGCACAGATTCTATTAGCCTGTAAACCAGTTTCTAAATCAGCCAATTCCTCTCCCAAACCTCCTCCTTCCCCATGTAAGCAGACTTCTTGCACTGCTTACCATCCTATCTCCTCCTATCTTCCTGAAAAACTTTCCCTGTCGTGGAGTTAAGCAAGCCACTCCTTGCCAATACTGACCTCAAGGCGATTCCAGCTCTGAGAGAGCTCATGCTTTATTCAGTGACTGGAGAATGGAGGTTTTGTTTCCTGAAAGCCTGCCAGTACCAATCAATTGGAGCAACCTGGAGACACAGGTGATGGCTAATCCCTCAGGCGTGGGTCATGCCTCCAGGCTCTACCTTCCCCTCCCTACCTAAGATGTCAGCACACCTTTCTGCCTCCTCCATGGTCTCACCATGTGTCCTTTGTCTCTGTCTGCCTTCCCCTCCCTGGGCTTACTGGGACCCTGCCCCCCATGAAAAACCTGTAGCATAGTACCTTATGACTTAAGTTATTCCAACTAGTTTGCCAGGCCTCTCAGTCTAAACTAACTTTAAATCAGCTGCTTTACAAAAGCACTTGGAAAAACCTGCAGCTGTCATGCTTACGCTCCAGCTCCGCCCCCACAAGAGGAGGAGGGAAAGCAAACAGGCGCACCTGTGCACAGGATGCTGGCTCCTGGACACAGCAAAAACGCTTGCCATAGCTAGGAAAATCCATAGAGTGGATCCAGCAAATCCTGGACTGCCAGCCACATGTGGCAATGGCTGCAGCCCGCCTGCCACTTCCCCTAGAATAAACGCACGGAGAGTACATAGGAAGGGGGGAGGGGTGACAAGCCACAGGATCAGGCCTAGGCAGTCAGGGTCATTTGTCCCAGGTGTGTGTGGAGGGAGTGGTGCTTACACAAGTCCTGCTCCTAGCCCCACCTCACACCTCAGGGCATCAGACCCTTATAAGCCAATTGTTAGCTTGAGGTTATAGTTCCAGAAATAACAAAATAGACATTACTGTGGTCTCTAAACTTCTCATTTAGACTTTTCTATAACTTTGGCCTCAGCATAAATTTTTCCCTCCAAATATTAACACTAGTTGTCTGTATGCCACTGTTATTGGCCTGAAATGCCCTCTGAATGCCCTTCTCTAACTTTACAAATGATTTCTTTGTTAAAAAGATAGCCTTTATTAAAGAGGCTGCCTGCTGTTAGCTAAAAGACAGGATCCTAACGTTTTGTTCTTTCTAGATGGGACCTGCATCTTCCAGTCTTCTGGCTGGTAGATGTTGGAAGCTTTGTACTGAGGCCTGGCCTCAGTATGCCTTGGGTGACCAAGAGAAGTGGCTTTCACAGGGCTCCTTAAATTACAACAGACCTTTTCTATAAAAAAAAAAAAAAAAAAAACTGAGGTCCCCTATACAAATTTCTCTCCCTTTCTCTCTTGGCTCTCTGCTCTCTCCCTCTCCCACCCGGCAATAAAGAATCACTTGGCCAGATCACTCCTCTCCACGTGGTCACTTTTGGGGTCCACATTTCCTTACATTTGGACAAATTTCTCTCATTAGAAAAGCAATGGGTTCTGGCCCAGGCCACTCAGGTTTGAAATGATTATGTGGCTCAAGCAGTAGAGTGCTGCTTTACAAGCAAAAAGTTCTGAGTTCAAGCTCAGTACAGCCAAAGTAAAAAAAAATAATAATAATATTTGGGGCTGAGGAAGTAGCTCAATGGGAGAATGTCTGCCCAGCATGTGCAAAGGCCCTGGGTTCAATTCCCCAGCATTACTTAAAAAAAAAAAAAATAAAATAAAAAATGGTCACTTCAGCCATCTCATAGTAGAAAAATGTAGTTTAACCTAGATCCCTCATTCTTCAAGTGAGGAAACTGAGGCCCAGAACAGTTCAGAGGCTTGCTCTCCAGAGTGTCAGGTGTCAATGTAAAATAACAACTTTACTTTACAGCAACAACCTATCAGAAAGCATAACACAGTGGACTCAGAGTCACAGGTGAGAGAGGTTCTCCTCAAAGATAAATTTCTAACAGTCAGTCCCAGATATTTGTTAAAAAACTCAGACTGTGGCTGAATGGAAAAGTTATTGAACCAAGTAATACAGCTAGCCATGTCTGTATTTATGGCTACGTCTGTATGTCCGGGACCTTACGAACAGGATAGAAAAAGATAAGAGACACCATGGCCTCACTGCTGCTCTCAGAGAGGGCCCCACCCGACTGGGGCCTGTATCCTGAACTTGCTACTGTGGTGGACAGGAGGGGAACTTCTGCAGAGAATGCTTAAGGGGGACAGCCCGGGAGATAGCCCCGCCCCCCAACCGGGACCCTGCCCTCTGCAAGGGTAACCACTGGAGGTCTAAGTGCCCCCATCACCAGATGAAAGACGAGGTGCCACCTTCCATGGATTGATGGGTCCAAGCCTCCTGTCCACACTCCACTTCTTGGCATCAATGTTGAGGAGCCATAATGGCAGAAAAACAAAAGGCCATTTTCCTCCTAGACAGTGGA